GAACAGAAAAATGAATATCAGCGAGAACACGTGCAAAAGTTTCACCAGATTCGAACGTACCGCGAGGATATGTGTAACACCATGTTGGCGTAACCTGTCAAATGCCAAGTCCAAGTGCCTAAGGTGAGTTTCCTTGTCTGGACTGGCAATGAGGCAGTCGTCTAAGTATGCGTATACAAAGTCGAGACCGCGAAATACTTCGTCAATGAAGCGTTGGAATGTTTGGGCTGCATTCCGGAGACCGAATGGCATACGTAGAAATTCAAAAAGTCCGAAAGGCGTAATGATAGCCGTTTTCGAGATGTCTTCTGTTGCCATCGGGATTTGGTTATACGCTTTAACCAAGTCGATTTTGGAGAATATAGTCGCGCCGGATAAGGTTGCCGTCAAGTCGTGTATATGAGGCAACGGGTAGCAATCAGGGGTTGTTTTGGCATTCACTCGCCGGTAATCACCGGTGGGTCGCCAATCATTGCTATCCTTTTTCGGAACCATATGAAGTGGGGATGCCCATGGGCTATTCGAAGGTCGAATGATGCCAAGGGTAAGCATATGGTCAAATTCATTCCTGGCGATTCTCAGTTTGTCAGGAGCTAATCGTCGTGCTTTAGATGTCACAGGTTGTCCTGTGGTAATGATGTGGTGCATAACATTGCTGGTTATGCACGGTAGGTCGTTCGACGGGCAATTAAGTTCCGGATACTTGTCAACAATAGGTTGAAAAGTTGGATCAATGATTGCCTTTATCTTAACGGGTGACAAACTAGGGCCTATGTAGCTGATGCCTTTGATAGACAGACTAGTAGTATTGTCAATCAGTCGTTTTCGGCGGACGTCTACGAGTAAATCATGATGATTAAGTAGGTCCGTGCCAATGATGGGCATTGTAACGTCAGCGAGAAGGAAAATCCACCGAATAGGTTTGCGTAAACCTACGTTCAGATAGACGTATTTCCTACCAAAGGTTGCGATTGGTTTTCCATTTGCAGCCTGTAAGTTGAAGGTAGGTTCCTTCTGTCGATCTGCTGCTGTAGCAGGAAGGACGCTGACTTCGGCGCCTGTGTCGACTAAGTATCGAGTCTGGCTTATCACATCATGGATGTAAAGTAGGCGGCTAGTGCCACCGGCGACGGTTGCCGCTAACGCGTGCCGGCGGGATAGTTTCCCGCAGACTTTGAGACATTTCCGAAGTTACAAGGCTTACGGCAACACTTCGCTTCTTGGCCATAGGTGTTGTGGTACCAGCACCAGTCAGGGTTTTTCAGTGAACGTGGTTTGGACTTAGATCGACCACGTGAGTTCCTGCGTTGAGGAGATTTAGGACGACGGTCGGAGGAGTTAGAATGCATGTTCGACCTAAACATCTGCTGGATGGAGTTGCATAACTCTATCATTGCAGGATCCTCACTCGAAGTCTGCTTAGTCATCGAGCATATTTCGGGAACAGACCGTTTAGTTATTTCTAGAATCCTATCTGCAGTAATAGCTAAGTCCTCTATTACAGTACCCTGAAGTGTCACAAGTACGGTCTGTACAGACTGTGGCAACTTGGTTAAGAAGAGTTCTCTAAACAGTCCTTCGTCGAACTGACTTTGCCCGACGATTTCTTTCATTCTTGTCAGCATGCTCACGGCTGACTGATCTCCTAACTCGATGTTACGAAATAATTCATCTAGACGTTGTCGGTCCGTGAGAACGTTTCTCCTGAGGAGGGATGCTTTGAGCAACTCGTACGAGTTACTTACCTCGGGACTCAACATCTGTGATGTTACGTACTTGCTGAATTCCCGCGGTAGGGCGTGAATAACTGCAAGTAACTGTGAACGTTGATCGGTTATCCCATGCTCACAAAAATCTGCTTCAGCTAGCAGAAACCACGTTTCAGCATTATCTGGCCAGTATGGTACGAGCTGAATGGTTTTAGGAGTTGAGCGGATACGGATGACCTTGGGACTAAGATCACTCATGACGAAAATTATGTCGAATAATATATGGTACAAGAACAAATACAAAATGGAACGAACTCACCAGGGTTATCTGCGGATTTATCGTAGATGAAGTTCGCGGTTGGGCTCACCAGTTTAATGGTTGACGGATATCTCGTTCAGCAACTTCTAATTAATTTATTCTCGCGTACCAAAGACAAAGCAAAAGCCAATGTTTGATCGTCCAAAACAAGAGATATATTTTGGGACCAAAACAAGCCTTCAGACGAACGCTTAGCTAGCTAGTGATCGTGCACGTGACACGACGGGGTACCAAATGGCGGGGATGCTTGACCGGAAGCCTTCAGCTAAACAAGTCGACTTAAACAGTGGTGGTCAGCATCCAATGAGTGATTGCTGTGGTCAATAATTTTGGGGAATTATTTACCGCCACTATACCCTGGAGGTCCATTTCCAGGAGGGCATGCGGCAGGATCAAGTGGGGCGGGAAAGAATTCAGTGTACGCTTTTCAGATTGCTTCACACACTAGCATAGAAACCACGTCTGAGCCAACAAGAAAGCCTTCAATAATCGGACCGCGAGTGAATTTATTGCACATCACCACTAATCGTAACGTCGTAGTTCACTGCTATAGTGGTTTAACAAGTCATATTTTTGGTATGCTTCTTAAATGAAATTTTGCATTGGAAATTTTTCTCCGGTGTGCACACTGTCAGTGGCGTTATACTCTTGTACATTTGCTGCACTTTTATCAGAAAATTTTGCTTGATAATGATATTCGCGCGATGTGGTGGATTGAAGGAGGCAGTGAGCCCAAAAGTTAAATGTATATTTTTGGATTTTCACGAAATCATGCTAGTATATCTTGGCCTATTTATTGAAATGCCCTAGTACCCACCGGGTAAAGGTAGTGTCACTTCAAAAAGGGGTGTGCCAAATAATTCCTCGCGGACCACCTGCCACGGAAACCCCATGGGACTTCCTCTTCTGCCTTTAATGTAGCAGTATTAAAAGTAATTGCCTCGTAGATTTGATCAAAAACATGCTTCTGCTCCTACCATCATAAGCCTGTTCAGCTTCTTGTCAAGACGCTAATCCGTGGGCCCTGCAGAAATTCGTGAGGTATCTTACGGGTCAGCTTGTCCCACGGGCTGTAATCTTCCACATCTTTGAGTTCAATTCTCACTGAAATACCACTTATCTACCTCACGATAATCTTTTATTTACGCACTATTATAATCTGTTTTATCCAAACTACCTAGGCCTTTATTAAAGCTACAACTTACTCTTTGTTCATATTCGTTGCTTGCTGAAAATCTGGTTGTTTTGATGAAGAAGCCACAACAACATCTGTCAGCAACGTCTCATAAACCGTTAATGCCCAGCTCTCGCTACGCTCGGGCCCACGCTGTTCCTTTGAGTTTCAGAAACGCTTTGTAATAACGGACGCAAAAACCAAAACACCGATCTGCCGCTTGTTATTTCTTTATTGTTACACCAACAAATAAAAGGAATAAACGAACTAAGCAAACTAAGGTCTGTAAACAAATATTACAATAATAAATCGTTATGTTACTTCTGACGATGTTTCACTCTTCTTTCTGAACAGCGACCGATGAGACGATGACTGTCGTATTGATGCCTCCGCGAAAATCGAGGAAGTTGATTTTGAGCAAACAACCAAGAATTGATCGTTCAATCTTCAACTCCATTGACAACATCAGTGCTTGAACAAAGCTATATCTTCATCATGGTTTCCATGCTAAGACCGATATGGTTGACTTTAAACATTGCAAATATATACTATCATGCCACCTCCTTGTTATATATATCTTTTAACTGAACTTTCAATGATGTATTATCCATAATTGTACTTTGTGCCATTTCACAGTTTCCCAGGACGTTCTTCTCTTCTTGAAGCAAATTTTAATCACGTGGCAGCATAGCACTTACCCAAATGTACGCTGTTCACTGGTTGACCACAACTATCAGCATGAAACGGAACGAAGTTTGGGTTGTCGCACAAATTCACTGGTGACCTTAGTGAACGGTTTACAATTTAACATTTGTAGAAACCTGTTCGGATTGCTTGTACAACAAACGAACAATTTAAACTTTTGAAAAAGTACAAATTTATGGGGCTTCACTGATCGTGACTGTAAAAATGGCATACATTTCCCGTAAACACCAGCTTATACGAAATATGAATTATTATGACAGTGCAGCTACATATACTCTGCTTAATCAGGCACCCACCAACGTCATAACCAGATACCAGAGAAGACTAAGGATATCTTGGTTCTAACTGTTCAGCAAATGAACTATCCATAGGTGTTTTGCTGTCAGTACTAACAGGTTATGTAATGTAGTGAACAAGTGGGTGATTGGAGACATTGAGTCTAGTGGGGCTTGTGTAGTGTGGCATAACACAAACACATGTCTTACTCGGGTCTGTGTGAAACTGCAGAAGGCAATTTCAGTCGACAACACGCTGAGGTAACCTGACCCCAAATCCCATGGCCTGCCTCAAAAAAAGTATTCCTGCAAGTGAACTATGCGAACACGATGAGTTACAGAGTCCTAAACCTCATTATTGACTAAGACACTAACGTGGAGGACCATGGTAATGCAGAGGCAGCGACAGATTGCCTCAACAATATGTTTATACCGAAATCAACACCACGTCATCGTCAGCAGTGTTCGCTGATATTGATCAAAATATTTTTCACAACCCTTTGGCAAAACGTATACAGGGGAATGAATGGTAGCTAATTATATTGTGCATCAACAAATTACCGAAATTGGCTAAACTTGCCATTGTTGTCGACATGGATCCCCTAACCATTTGGAGACAGCTTAAGGGTGCGGTTGCATATGCTACAATTGCACCACAACAATCTGCTAAAATGGTCTGTTGAATCCAGTCTTCCGATCAGTGTAGCGAATTACCCAGTCATGCTTAGGAGACACGTAAGTATCAGTGCATGTGCCATATGGGGAACACCCGTTTCTAAAGCCGAGGTTCATATCGAGACTGTTCCGAAAAGATAAGAAGCCAACACCCGAATTAGACAGGTACACAAGAGCTCGCCACACAGATATTGGCTATTGAACACGCGACACTTGAGACGACCATCATTTAACACCTCTTCTAAGTTTTCGAGGTTAGTAGTGTATATATACATATATGTGCTGCCATTCGCTTAGTTCGCCCCATATTTGTTCATATTTCAGCTTGAAAATTGGAATGCAGTCGAATATTGCATTTTCTGAGGAGACCAAAATTGTTTTGTCTTCCATCAATTCAGCATCTGTATCAACTCCAGATGAAGATCAAACACTACATAATTCTGACGATGAATTTGAACGTATGCTGCCGTCTGTTATAAATAAAGAAACTTTGAGTATTCTGGAAGCGAAATTGGGGCTAGGTGGTGGAGGCGATTGGTGGATAGACCCCTCTCGTGATCCCATTGAAATAGACTCAGAGGGCAATAGAGATGAAGGTGCTATTTTAGACGTTGAAGCGAGTTGTAGAAACTGGTATCGTGCTCCATTCGACCGGGACCCAGAATTCTGCAATGATTCCTACCATCTTCTGAATCGATTAAATGAATTGGCCAGAATAAAGGGATTAATTGAAGAAGCATCATTGAGAAAACAATCTGTCAATCAGGTAGACGTAAACAACACAGACCGTCAGATATATCATTCAACATTGTCTGTGAATGGCTCAATGGATTTCAGCAACATGATTTCACCACACACAAATCACGATATACAAAATATTGACCCTCTAGCAGATCTTCGCCGTAGTTTAAATGGCCCGTTTCGAGACCTACAGTCCGATGTCTATGGCACATATGCTTTACGTAAATCAAAAAACAACCAAAAGGTGCCCCTCGGTGAAGTATTTGACGTCAGAACACATGAATCTGACTACACAAGATATCCTGATAAGCCTCAACCACCTTTTTCTCAAGCTATGCATTCAGGGCTACCTCAGTTGCACAAGTCACATCAGCCACCATCTCCTCATTCAATCCCAGTGACAAATATTTCACCTATTTTTGGCCGGAGAAAGGTGTCTACGAAGAGTAACCAACCTGCATATACTTCAGGTAGTACAAGTGTTCCAGATCCAAAGGTTTGTGGCCAAAAGCGTTCCGTACTTTCACGGACATACTCGAAGGAACAAATGGATTTCTTAAAGGAAGTGAGTGAATACCAAGTCACTGATTCAATTCTCAAAGTTCCTTCTCTTCTGGCAAGATCGCATGCACTGACGGCCTCACTACCCATATCAGACAACGAAGGTGATATAGATGTAACTAAAAGCTTGGACATTTCGTCGACAGTGAATCCATTGTCTCAGTCCCTTTCTGCAAGTGAACTTACGATGAAGGGTCGTAAGCTATCGGAGAAAGTCAATACTTCTTATTCTAGTATGAGAAGTTCTGATGTCTTTGAATTGGCCCGCTTACAAGAAACTCATTTGCGGGAACATAGTGGCAGTCGAGGCAAGCTTGACTGTTCAAACTCTTCTCTCACTGGATCAAGCATAGGTGAGAAAAATCAGAAAAAGGGAGACGGCGCTGATAGTACGGGACGAAAATCTACCAGTGGCCTCAGTTCCTGTGACGTTAGTGCTACGCACAGTCGTGAAGAAATTGTTGCTGAAGACCAGAACGGTAAACCTGAACGTCAGCATACGATCACCGCGAATGAGTGCGGTTTTAATCCATTGCAAGGTTCAATAGGTTGTGAACCCAAGGTGAATCTCAGCTCAAGTGTAGACGCATGTGTCAATTTGAGCAGTGACGAAGTTACAACACCTTCGAAACCCCTAAACTCCACATATGATGCTCCAGATTTTAAATGCGTTTACGGTAGTGATCCAGCAACCTCGCAAATAGATGGAGTAGAAGGTCACCGACCGATTATAGGTGCAACAGATAGTGCCATAAGTAACACAAATGAACATTATGCGCAAGCTACAGGCTGTGTACGGCACACGTCTTATATAGGCGATGATGCTAAACAGACAGATGGAAACAGACGGAGACTTGACGCGAGTTACGACTTAAAAGATCGGGATATCCTTGTGGAACATGAATCAGATTCAGGTGTGCTGACAAATCGTGTGGAAGCACCAAGGCTGAATGCTGTTTTGAAGTCGATGGAGTCGCCTCAAGTCGCTGATCCGAGTAACACATCTTCAACAAACTCCCTGGTACCTCCTACCGTTATCAATAATGCTGAGAGCCATGAACCGTCTCAGTGCAAACAATATGATGTGAAACCTCATACAAAGACACTGATTCCTCTTCCCAGTGGAAAGTTATCTCGTCTCCCAATGCCCTCGCAGAAAATGCCTTCAATGAGTGTCAGCAGTCGTCTTGGTTCCCGTAAAAGCGCCACAAGCGAACAAGGTTCCAATTCTGCACACTCTACGAACAAAACTCAATTATCTGCCCCAAAAGTAATATACCTAGTGTTTGCGGCCCTAGGCTAAGCGGTAGCGGTACTAAATCTAGCAGCATAAAAGCAACACAGCTATCTAATTCAACGAAGTCTTCTTCGAAACCTTCAACATCCTCCTCAAGTTCACAGCAAAACAGAAAGTCGATACCTCATGCGACCAATTCATCACCTGCTACTACCATCCGGAAACCGTCACTGCCATCAACCACTTCATCTCGTGGAAGGACCCCTCCCAAGCCTTAATTTAGCTCTCTTGAGTATTTTCAACTTTTATTTTATGTACCCTGTCTTTCAGTCACTTTCAATGTGTGTTCAAAAATTCTCATGATAGACACTAACTGAGGCTAGGTAACTTACTTTTTTCTGGCTTTAACTATGTTAGATCCCGGTTGTTCGGCTCATATATATGCTTACACTCATGTTTATTTTAATTTGTGATTTTCCAGAATTTTAAAGGAGAAACACTGACGTACACATATCTAGCAGGGGGATTTTTATATCTTATTTTTGAACTAATACTTTTTTAATTTCTTAATTTTGATATTCGTATACAATGTAAATACATCAAGAGTCCAGATTATTGTGTTATGTTCATAACACAGTTTAAACATATCTTGGTACTCCTGTTATTCTTGGTAATGCCATCACTGGTCACATTTTGTCACTTTACTTGCCTTGAGAGAAGAAAGAATGGTTAACTATTATTAAACTGCTTATTTAGGCAGTCTGTTTTCTTATTTCCTTCTATTTTTACCAACATTTTAGTCATTTTATAACATAAAGCAAAATATAACCCCACTTTGTACGATTCAGAACTGTTTTTCTCTTTACAGTGGTATAGAACGAGAAAATATAAGATATCTGTCGGTTGATACTAATCGATTGCATTTATTGTGTGATAGCGCCGCGTGGAAAGATATGGTTTTCATCTTTCAGGTTTTTGTATGCTAACCGTTTGCTTTTTCATAGGTTTCCATGTCACTCCCCATTGTTCAAACTCTGTATCAATTTAGCTGTATTAGATTCAGCAAAATGGTCATTTACCCACAGTTGTCTTGTTTGCCACGTTAATTGAAGGGTAAGTGAGCTATGCATAATCTAGTTTTCTGTGTGTAGTCTTCATTGCGGATTCATTGGCAGTGTTCAACAGGAGATGAAAAGCTGTTTCGTCGTGGATCGGAGCAAATTAGCGGTGTGAAATGTCGATGACATACGAATTTAGGTGGTGAAGTCTTTAGATCTTTAAACCTAACGAAAATGGCTGAATTAGATAAATGTTTAAGGCATCCATTGTTGGTGATATTGTTTACTTTGTTTATTTCTTTCTTGTTCCAAATGGGGCATAGGGCTTCATGCCTTACTACCAGCTTGATGAGGTTTAGGAGTGGGTCGTCCAAGTGTCGCATCCCGGACCACGTGCACGGTTGGCGAGCGTTCTGCCGCCGAACCGTCGATGCACTGTTGGTAACATTATACAACAACCATTCTCTGATAAATGGACAACAATCAAATTTGTGTTGTCGATTCGAAATATTCTTCTAATTTACCTACCAGTCACTGTGGAGAAAGCAACATTAGGTTTCTAATCCTTTGTGTTGATGCCGACTGTGAATTCATTCAAGAACTGACGTAATATTACGTTATTTTCAGTGGTTGAGAATGCATAGCCACTAATTCTTAAGATCACTAAAAATGGAGTGCATACTGAGAGATGGAAATATCATTTATTGACCTCTGGTTATCCACCATTAATTTATAAAATAACTTATCTATGTTGTTTACCGGGTTGTAGCACATGTACAGCATATCCGGTCATTCCAGTTGATTTATGCTTACAACCTTTTTCGGACCATACTGTATTCTCAACTTCAGTATCACTGCTACGCGGCAAAAACACTAAATGGGTACATGCTACCTCTTTAATCCCTTTACCTTGAATAGTTACCTCTTTCAGTCGTGAAAATATAGCGAATGGTTTTGTATCGACATTTTACTCTGGATTAATAGTTAAAACGCCCAACAGACAGACAGAACTGGTGTAAGCTAGTAAGTACAAAAGAGGTTTTGTCGTGGACTCATTGGCGATTAGCCCATTAGGGTTTGTGTGGTGTGGAATTCTCCACTTTAAACATTATTCAAAAGTTGGAGTAAATACCGATCAGCATCACACCACCATCTTAATCTGTAGGACGGACGAAATGTTTTCGAGATATCAGCGATAATCCTTTTGAGATTTTATATTTGACTGTTCGGGGAATACGCTCTAATTTTATGCTGGATGAGGTGCACCTGTATGTCAAGTCTTCAATTTTATTGATCATATTTTTAACTTAACTAAGAGAAATCTATCAGGGCGCGGATCCAAAATCCTGACATTATACATTTTTATTTTAAATGATCGGATTTTAACATATTTTGAGCTATATTTAGAGTTTAAATGCAGAGTATTTTTTCTGACATGCAACATGTAATGGCATGTTTCGTATATTCATTTCATACGTAAATGTCGGTGGAATAAATGCTGCGATTGACTCTCAGTAGTGAGTTGATTCAAATCGTTTCTTTGAAAGGTAAGTCTTCTATGAAACTTCCCAAAATAAACGTTATATGCATGAATGAAAGTCATTGTCTTGGGTTCCAAGTGGAACATAGGGTTTCATCATCACACCTCCACTTTGTTCCTTTTCCTGCCATCCTCTTTAGCTGGGTTCAAAATTTCCTATAATCCCTCTTTTTCTTCCCCTCACGATCTCCTCAATATATGCCTGATCCATATCCATTTTCCCCTACATATTTGTTGAGCGATCGGCTCTTGGTTGCTTGTTCCCACAGTTTCTTTCTGGCCATTTGATCTTGATCATGGAGCAAAGACAGCTGTTGATGAAAGTCTGCGACCTGTTGGAAATCCTTTTCATGACACACAATGCAAATTTCTGACCCGTATACAAGAAGTGATCGACTTGACGTTGGTGTTGAAAATGTAGTCATTCTAGGAAGCATAATCAAAAGGTGAGAAAATAATGGTAACGTTGAATTACAAAAGGAACTTCGTATCAAATAATCAACTGAATAAATATAATCCTTCTAAGAAATTAGCGAAAAACAAATATATCCCGAAACCGCGAGTACATTTCTATTATTTTCCAGACTCTTCTCAACTGCTTACAACGTAAACAAAATACCAAAATATATAAGTCATGAAACTTTATCAGGTTAACAACGAGTTGTTGTTAAAGCCACAAGAAACAAAAGTCCAGGATAATGTCCCAGCAGGACGTCACACTGCCTACGGTTAAAATGCTGACTATTTCTAAGATAATTAGATAAAATTTTATGATACAAGCCGATTATAATCTGATATTTTGGATACAAAGGAAGTCTAAGTAGAAAGAGCAATTTGGTATAATAATAGGTGGTGTAACTACAAAAGTTCTTTCCAATGTCAAAAAGAGTAAGGTGAGTGACAATCGAATGAAAAGCAATTTCTCTTAACCAGAATAGAAGATGTAGAAGAAAAATATGTGGCACAATCGGAAATATACAGCTTTATTTCGTAAATATAATCGCCAGAGGAGTGTAACATTCACCATCACATCCTTATACGTATATTGATGGGGTTATGTGAGGACGGAAAATCATTTGATAAGGTGCATCAACAGAGGTAGCTAGCACATATCCTATACACTTCAGACGATCCATCTTCTTCCACGAAGAGAAATGTTAGCTGACATAGGATTGGGTTAGAAAAGAGTTGGGAGTGGTCAAACTAAAACATGGCATCCATTCATCAAGCTTTATCTGTTATTTTGGGCCATCTAACTATAACTGTATGTATATTCTTTAATCAGCTGATGTCGAAGCCATGTAGATAATGCTCTACCACCTTTAACTAGGTAACTCTTACTTCCATTTCTTATACAGACAGTTTAATACAGATGAATGTAACGTCATATTTGGGATTATATTAAGACTAATACTGAGGCATGTTTTTTAATTTGATGAAGACACGCCTTAACTACCTTTTCCAATCAATCAACGTTGAACTGTTTTCTGTGAAAAGCGATGTCGCACGCATAGCTTTCTTCGAGATTATGCTACGATAAACTGCTGCCACAGCACACTCATACTTTGATTAACTAAAGATTTATTATGTTTATTACAATCCTTCTTTTAATTCATTCGCTTAAAAATATCTTATTGTTGCATTTGAAATGCGCTGGTAATTTCTATCTAACGTAATTTTACCCTCACACCATTTGAAACACCATTCGTGATTATCAAATTTATAGTCAGAATGATGAGAATGCTTTCTTAAGATAAGACAATTATTACTTTTTGAAACATTGGTGGTTCTTTATTACCTGGAAAGAAACCACGATATCCTACCTGGTGTTTTGTGTCAGTCAAGCGCTGAGTAGCACCACCATTAAGAGTAACACTCTTTCTTGTATATGGGCTTTTAAACACGTGTTGATAAAATATAAGGAGACCCTTATTCTGTTCTCCAAGTGTCTTTGCCTTAGTGAGTGTTAAGTATCTGGTTGGAGGATTTCATCATGAGCTGACATCAGTTAGACAACCATTGGGAAACCTGGGAGTACCGGATGACCGTTTCATCCCAGTTTGAGACTCTTCACCAGTGCGCACAGACTACAGGGAGTTAGAACTCAGGACCTTCTGGTTACAAGGCAAGGTAGCTCGAGGTAGCCACTGGGACCCTATCCAATGGCCCATGAATTCTAACTTCTGCCAATTCGTGACATAGCGTGCTCACTTCGCAATATCTTCTTCGATGAGTTACTGCCTCACCTTCAAACTACTGTACTCTACTGGTCACAGCTCCCCACTAGAACCCCAAGTAAGTGCCTGGATTAGGGCCAGTCACTAGTGAACATCAGATCAATTTTCAAGTATTGGTTTTCGTAAGGAATTTGTTTGATTGGTTGGAGGATTTCATCATGAGCTGACATCCGTAACATGAGTTATGGTTAGTAAGCATTATCTTTCCAAACAGTGACATAGTCGTATTTAACTGATTTAAAAAACGCTAGATATATCAGTAAACTCTGACAACTATAAGGGTAGATATCTATCATGCTGAATTTGATTATGTCCAGGTTGTTCCAAGTTTAGCTAACAATAAAATTGATCCTACTCTATAGTCAGCGTGGAAATTCGAAATAGTTTATTATTTATACACCAAATAATAAACCAATCGGTTAATTTCACTACAAAATGAATTAAAAAGTTGATAATAAGATGGAGTAATAGCTTCTGAGCATTCAGACAAACGGAGATTTGGCAAACATTTCTAACTTTTCATAGTACTACTAGATGACATGACATTTTGATGAAATGTTATCTAACTGATTAAAAACTTCAGGACAGATTAGAATGCTGTCTTATGCTTTAAAAATGACTCATGTTAGGGGATCTGTAGTCGAAATTCTATTCATATATGAAGATACTAGTGTTAGACGAGAAACACTGTTGTATACCGTCATATCATATGATACTGATGGAATGTAATCAAATGTGTTGTAAATTTCCCTGGTTTAATTTTCTATTCTGGATCATACAGAATGACTAGTATACTGTTATTCAGTTAAAAGTGATTTATGGCAAAACGTGTCTTCAGCTAGTTAAATCACTTGTCATTTCACTGACTCATTCAACTGAGCTTATTTATTTCGTTTTACAGTGATATCACCACTATAAATACTCCATTATTATTCATCAATCTGGCAACGTTTTATTACTGTGATTCTATGTCATAATAACCACTTTTAACGAATCAGTAACTTAATTTATTGATCGACTATGGTTAAACAATTTAATCAATGACCTTCGATTAAGAACGCAAAGCTTATATTTTATTTTGAAAGGTTTTGACATTAAAATGAATCTTTATTTTTACGTAAATCTGTCTTTTTTTCTTATAGATATTGGTGAGTGTGAGTATGGGTGTAATCAAAAGAATATAAGTAAGTATATCGATGATGTTTAGTGACTGTTTACACATGATGGTGATCTTCTCTAGTTTGGCGATATACAGATGTTGACACCCTTTTGTCAATCGATAGATTGTCTCACATTTTTAAAAAATCATTTGTCTATATAAATGAACTGAATAAACTTAGTTAATGACAGAAATTTGCGTGTGTGTGTGTGTGTGCATTACTGATAATAGTGGATAATTTTATCGATTAGGCTTCAGCTTCATCTGAAGAGTATGATGTGCATCAGATGACAGTTGGAACAACTAACTACCGTACAAGTGTTATCTTCAATGCATATTAACTCATGATACACAAATTCAATTAGAATTCATTTTATACTCTTAGTCAGTAAAAATCACTGGTTAAATGAATGTCATCTGAATAATCCTCTGAATTAATTAAAATAGAATTGAATAATCATTAAACAAAGTTGTTAACAAGTTTAGAAAACAAAACTCATTATACTACTTAAATTCGACTTATATTATTTGAGTAGTAGGCTCTTTATAATTACTTGACTTTTATTTGAAAATAATAAATAGAATATTTTAGTCGAAATTCTACTGCAGCTGTTTGTTGTTATTTATTTTATTGGAAACATAAGTGTTTTCCAGGAGACATTTTGAGTTTACCTTCACTAATGTGAGCTTCTTGTCAGTAATGATTATTTGCTTTTATATAGGTCAGAATACAATTCGATTTTCAGAGTAGGTATTTCTAAGTAATCCACAAAGGGAAACTTACGGAATCCTACGAAGTGAGGACGGGAGTAAGACAAGCTGGCTGTCTACTATCACCAATGATCTTCCTGATTGCAGTAGATTGGATAATGCGACAGACAACGGGCGGCGAAGAAACAGGCATAAAATGGACTCACACAAAAAACTTGGAGGATCTGGATTTCGCCGATGATATATGTCTGATTTCCAACAAACTGGAAGATATGCAAGTGAAAAGCAACAAGCTGGCAGAAGAAGCATCCGGAGAAGATAGGACTACAGGTGAACATAGATAAGAC